TACCTTACATAATATATATATATTTATGTCATATATTATGAGTATTGTATAGAAGCGTACCTACCTCCTATATAAATATATTATACATAATAATATTATATACTATTAGCTGTTTTATGTTAGTAGATTTGTTTTTTTTTTTTAAAGTTATGTTATCTTTATTAGATAACCGTTATAAATTTATAATAAATTAATAAGTCACTTACTGCCTTCTAACTATGGGTACTTCTAATGAATTAATGCATTAATACCTATATTTAATATAATATGTACAAAAYGTAAACATTTTAGGTTCAAATGCAAAATKAATGCTGTTTATTGTTATATGAGTTAATACTTTTATATTATCATACATTTTAAAAGCGCCGACGACCCCATATTATGTGCATGTTATTTGAAATGTAGATACCTACCTACCTACCTACTTAATGATATTTTATTTAAATGTAAATTAAAAATTTTGGGATCTTATAGCATTTGAATATTTCTTATGAGACRCTTAAAAAATAGCTGAGTAAGCTTAAAATGTGTTCCATGATACAGAGAACTCATATTAAAAATTTTATTCTGCCATTTTATTTGCATATTTTGCGATTTTTAGTTTTTAGTGCTTTTTTTGGATTTTTACATGTTTTGAATCAAAATCGTTCATATTTTATGAAATCTTACTTTAGTATACGTGTTTTTAGATTTTTACCAATTGAATTTTAAATCTAATAAATTGTAAATGTATAGATTAAGTAAATAGACCGATTACGCTGATACCACGCTGTACAACAGCAAAAATATATAGCTATATAATATAATATTATGATCATTTTCGTAATATTAAGTACTTGGTTCTGATTTATATTAGCTGCTGATTTTGTTGGTTTTTTTTTGTTGATCCTATTGTAATCATTAATCGTCGATTATCAACGAACGAACATTGAATCGTTGTAAGTGATTATATTAAATTATTAATTAACACTTTCATTTTTTGCATCTTGTGTTGTTTTTATTGCATATTTTTAGCGCATACTTAGAGTTATTTAAGGTAATATTAAAGCGCATATTTATGGAATTTTAAGTGCTATAAAATCCCAACCCTGGTAATTAATAATATTTTAATGAGTTTAATGTAATAATATTACTCATTATTAAGTTAATAATGATAGCTCACGTCTAGCTATCTGTCGACCACGGGAGAATACCAAGAAATGTTAAAATAAAAATTATGATTCTGATATAATAATTATCATATTATTATTGACTCTCACAAGTCTCACAGATTTGTGTAACGCGTGTACCTATCAGATTATTATGTTATGTAAAATGTATCGTACTCTAGTAACTTGTTTTTTAGTAAAATTGTTTACTGATAAATAATTAATTATATCATTGATTATAAATATTACTTATTAGTATGATTATAAGTATATATTTATAAATGAATAAAAATCGTTAGAAGTATGTAGGTACCATTAGTGTTTTCTTATAGTTATGACTTATGACTTTTGAGTGTAAATCTCAAAAGATGTAATTATAATTATTAGACTTATATGATAGCATTAAATAAATTGATATTAAATCTTATAAGGTTATATTATGATAATAATTCATTTTTGTACTTTATTTAATTTTTTATTGGTCTTGAAATTATAAAAATTTTTGCTTCGACAATCATGGCCATCATACATTTTGTATATACCTACTTAATGCCTGGATATTTTTTGGTACATTTACATCTTATTATCTAATCATTTAATCATTAATGTTAAACACACTAAACATTCATTAATTATATCTATAAAATATTTATGTGATTCATATATTTATACTAATTATTTTTCTTTTTTACAGTATTTTTGTTGCCTAATCTTATTTTTATTATATATTTATATATTTATATCTATAGCCGTACTTCATAGTCTTTCAGGATAGAGACTTCTATAATTCTAAGTTAGCACAAAATTCTGTCTAATAAACCTTAACCTTAGTATAGTTTGTGCTTTTATACAATTATTATGATTCAAAAGAATAACGGTATAATTATTATTATATGAAACAGGTAAATGTGATACACCAAAGTGCGG